AAAAATAGCCCTGGAATTGTAATGGCTAATGGCTGCACAATAAATTTTACTATCACTACAACTGTTGACCTTTTTACCTTCACTTGTTATTCAGTTTGGTCTTCGCATACCTTAAAGCATCTTCATCGTGTTACATGTTCATTTGCTGTTCAGCCCCTGTCTATAAGTGTGAGCCTCATCTGCCATTCCGTTGTATTTGAAAAAGTGTGCGTGCCCACGAAAGCTCATACCTTGAACAAAACTGGTGGCTACAAGCATGGACGGCTTCAAAGGGGAATTAGATAAGCATATGGAGCAGAGGTCCATCGGTGACTATTAGCCACAAGGTATAGGTAAGAACTCTCGGTCTGGGGCAGGTAATGCACTGTCTTCTTGGTGCTTGGGGGGGGGGTCAACAGCAGAAGGTGGCCACAATGTCCGACTTGCCACCTCTCAGGGGCTTTGTGGAATGATCCCTCCCTTTCCATCACCGAGGGAAGAACAGCCTCTGAATGGAATGGCCATGCTTAGGCACAGCTTCTTCAGGGGTCACTGGGGTGGCCTTCCATTTCTCATGAAATGTCCTGGCCACACTGGTGGACCTCCTGATGGCCCCTGGTATTTGTGGCCACTGTGTGACACAGAGTGCTGGACTGGATGGGCCATTGGCCTGATCCAACATTGGCTTCTCTTATGTTCTTTTAAGAGGGAATTGGATAAGCATATGGAGCAGAGGTCCATCAGTGGCTATTAGCCACAAGGTCTAGATAGGAGCTCTCGGTCTGGAGCAAGGGATGCTCTGTATTCTTGGTGCTGGGGGGGCAACAGTGGAAGGGCTTCTAGGGTCCTGGTCCCACTGCTGGACCTCCTAATGGCACCTGGTATTTTTGGCCACTGTGTGACACAGAGTGCGGGACTGGATGGGTCTTTGGCCTGATCCAACATTGGCGTCTCTTATGTTCTTATGTTCTTAAACTTCGTTGGTCTTCAAGGTGCCCCTGGACTCTAAAAATTGTTCTACTGCTTCAGAGCAACACAGCTGCCCACCAGGATTTGCAGGGTATAAGGTTTTGAAAGTCAAAGCTTGGTATCTGATGAAAGGAGGATTTAGTCTCAAAAAATTATACCCTTGAAATCTTGCTGGTATTTAAGTTGCTACTGGACTAGAAACATGCCCTTTACTGGGGGAAAGTGCATCTGAACAGAATGTCTATAACGGTGGTTCTACTCTGCGATTCTTAAATCAAAATCAAATCCCCTGCTGTTGCTTGTCAGGGCTATTCCATGAAGGGCCATTTCTTCTACTTCTTTCGCTCCACCCTTCTGGTTTCTTGTTTTGTTCTTCTGTTGTCAGGGCTATTTTTGGGCAAAAAAAAAACACAGGAACGGAGTTCCGGCTGGCTCCCAAGTTGGCCACGCCCAGCAGGAACTCATTAGCATAATAGGCCACACCCAACAGCAGAAACTCATTAGGATTGGTTACATTAGGGGTGTGTGGCCTAACATGCAAAGGAGTTCCTGCTACAAAAAAAGGCCCTGGGTTTTGACCACAAACAAGGTCAACAGAATAAGAAGCAAAAGGTGGGCGTGGCTGGATTACCACACTTCTGGTAACATGGGTGTTTGGCCTAATGTACCAATGAGCTGTGCTGTCAGGGGTGTGGCCTAATATGCTAACGAGTTTCAGCTGTCAGGTGTGGCCTATTATGCTAATGAGTTCCTGCTGGGCTTTTTCTACAAAAAAAAGCCCTGTCTGTTGTTGCTGTCATTTTTATTTTTATTTTGTTGGTTTTTGCAAGCTGGCCTCAGTCCTTCTTTGCCAGAGAAAAGCAGGACAAAATGTTTGAAGAACTAAACAAAATATCCCAGGACCTCTTTTCAAACAACCTTCTCAAGATCACAAAGAGGCACACTCAGCATCTTGAGCTCTCGGTGTTCAGCAAATCTAATTCTTAAAATATATTGGCAGTCTTAAAACTCTGTCCCAGTATCTGTGGATAACAGTATCCCTTGCAGAAGGTAATTCGGCAGTCCTTTAGTCAAGATACAAGTACTTCCACCCCCTTTCATAATCATTGTATCATACATTTCAGGAGAACGGAGGTATAGCAGTCTCTGTCCCCAAAACATGGACGTTGCTCATGTTTCCTCCAAAAATCTATTTTCCACAGTTTGTTAATTGGTTGGAAGCATTTAAGAACATAAGAGAAGCCAATGTTGGATCAGGCCAATGGCCCATCAACACTCTGTATCCCACCGTGGCCAAAACCCAGGTGCTATCAGGAGGTCCACCAGCAGGGCCAGAACTCAAGAAGTCCTCCCACTGTTGCCCCTCAAGCACCAAGAAGACAGAGAACATAAGAACATAAGAGAAGCCAATGTTGGATCAGGCCAATGGCCCATCCAGTCCAACACTCTGTCCCACAGTGGCCAAAACCCGGGTGCCATCAGGAGGTCCACCGGCGAGACCAGAACTCCAGAGGCCCTCCCACTGTGGCCCCCCAAGCACCAGGAATACAGAGCTTCACAGCCCCAGACAGAGTGTTCCATTTATACCAATGGCCCGTCCAGTCCAACACCAGGTGCCATCAGGAGGTCCAGCAGTGGGGCCAGGACACTAGAAGCCCTCCCGCTGTTGCCCCCTCCCCTGCCCCAAACACCAAGAATACAGAGCATCATTTGCTCCAGACCTAGAGTTTCTATCTATACATCGTGGCTAATAGCCACTGATGGACCTCTGCTCCATATGGTTATCCAATTCATAAGAACATAAGAGAAGCCAATGTTGGATCAGGCCAATGGCCCATCCAGTCCAACA